ATTATTTATTAATTAATTGTTTATTAATAAAAATATATTAAACTATAATTAGAAACAAAACTACCTCAAACATACTAAACAAAAATGCAACTAAGAAAATTAATATAATGCTATACTAAATATATATAATAAATATATGTATTATTAATTAATTATTTATTAATTAATTATTAATTAATAAAAATATATTAATCTAATCTATCTATCTATCTATCTATCTATCTATCTATATTAAATTACATCTAAAAACTAAACTACCTAAAAATACTAAACCAAAATGCAACTTTAAAAAATAAGATAATATTATACTAAATATATATAATTAATTATTAATTAATAATAACATACTAAGATTGATATCACTATGGGTATCCTGACAATAAGAAAAAATGAAGGATTATGGTGAGTGGTCCAGCAAAGTGTATCCTCAACAGTTGCACGAATTATTATCCATGGTATTACTACCAATCCTGGTAATCCTATATAATTAAAATAATAATATTATAAACATATAAGAAAAATAATATTATATATAATAATTTATTATATTTAGATATTTTATATATATATATTTTTTAATTATTCTATGTAATATTATATATTATATATAAATTAATATAATATATATTTATTAATTTATGAAAATATTGTATAGAGAAATTTAATTATATATTATATATAAGATGTGTTTTTGTTATTTAATTATTTTGTAATAAATTAATGAAGTAATTAAATATAATAATTAAATTTAATATATAATAATTAACCTTTGTTTAACACACTTGGTCCAAAGGACCCAGACCTTTTTTGCAACTCAAGTCATTTTTCTCAATTGTACAACTTTGATCATTTTTTAAACATATTTAAATTTATTTTATAGCTATAAAACCTATATAGTCTTTTTAAGTAAGTATTAAAGAAGTCTCAAAAAAATGTTGAAGTAAATCTACGCAATAGTTTCTTATTTATAACAAATTTTCTTGCCCGGGTCCTAAAGACCCGGGTGTGGTAAGCAAAGGTTAAATATAATAATAAATTATTATATTACATTTATTATTATATTTAATAATAAATAAAATTATAAATTATTAAATAAATAATATTACATAAAATATTATTAAAATATATATAATTATATATAATATACAAAAAAAAAAAAATAATAATAAAATAATAATATTATGAACACATAATTGGCTGCAGTTTCATAAATAAATAATAAATAATACATAACATAAATTTGTAACATAACAAATATTACTGTCAATAGTAATATTATTTATTAAAAATTTTTTTTTTTTTTTTTTTAATAAATAAATGAAAATACAAAATTTACCCCATCCTAAAATAATGTAAGAAGTAATCGCAGTATTATCGATACAAAGTGCCATAAATATTAAATTGTAAAGATATAATCCTTCCATCAGTATCCATGCATAATTGGCAACTATAAAATATTGCCAAATACTTGTTATAATTTTACATGCCCATGTCTACATTTGAAAAGATAAAACACAAAACACAAATCAATGGAATTATTTATAAAAGTATGAATATTTTCATGTAAATCGGTTTAATCATACGCACGTTTCGTTCTTTGATAAAAACACGATCACCATCAACCAATATAACATCCCATGCCAATCCTATACCATCAACGAAAACCCATTCCTTAAAAAGTGCCATAAATGCTCTCATGATGAAAGATGTGAATAAATGCATGTGTAATCTGTTTCTTGGATTTCTAAGCCTTCTAATATTTGTCAATGAAAAATTTAATTAATAAAATATTTTTATGATTTATTCATTTATTCGTATATATATATTATTTTAATATTTATTTAAAAAAAAAAAAAAGTAAATCTTTTACGTACCTGAGTATAGTGAAAATTGTCATAGCAATTAACAATGTTGTAAATGACGATGCATATCCAATTTGTGACACGGTTTTGATTATTGGTAACCATTTCTATTAAATAAAAAATATAATAAATATGAAAAATTATATAATCATATTAGTAATAAATAAATTTATAATAAATTTAAAATAATAAAAAAAAAAAAAATGAAAAAGAATATACAAATAATTATAAAAAATTTACAATCATATTACCAACATATAAATTTGTAATAAATCAATAATAATTAAAAAAAAAATACACTATGTAAATAATTATAAAAAAATTAACAATATTACAATAAATATATTTAAAATAAATTAAGTATAAAAATAATAAAAAATACATACAAATAATTATAAAAAAAATAAATAATATTACCAATATATAAATTTATAATAAATTCGAAATATTAATAAAAATAATAAAATATACATACAAATAATTATAAAAAATAAATAATATTACCAATATATAAATATATAATAAATTTAAAATAATGATAAAAATAATAAAAAATATATACAAATAATTATAAAAAATAAATAAAATTACAATTATATACATTTGTAATAAATTTAAAATAATTATAAAAATAATAAAAAATATATACAAATAATTATAAAAAATTAACAATCATATTAGCAATATATAAATTTGTAAAAAATTAATAATAATTAAAAAACAAATACACATATAAATAATTATAAAAATTAACGATCAATTTACCAATATATAAATTTATAATAAATTGAAAATAATAATAATGAAAAAAAGAAAAAAGAAAAAACTTACACCCAGTAAAGAACTGTTTTCCAATTTTTCATATTTCCAAAGATACGCAGTACCCAAATTATTCGTACTTATGCACAAAGTATAATTACTCCAAGCAATACTTTGATCATTTTTATATCTTTGACCATCTGCCAAACAAAATTTACTTGCCAACGATGAACCATTGAATTTTTTCAAGATATTCGATTCATTGCTAAACTTTTCTGTAGATTCTTTAATTGGTTGTGTAAACGATGAAAATAAATCGTAAGTCGTTCCAAAAATTAATCTGGGTGGACATGGAAGTAGGGTTGTACTTTTGGAAGCTATTTTACGTGGCCAACATAATAATTCGTCAAAGGTTGATGGACATTGGGAAATTTCTGTACCAATTTTCATCACCATTTCTTCTTCGTTTTGACTACTACCTATGTTTAATAATAAATAATTATTTTTTAATATTTTTGTTATTTATTAATGGTCAGTTTTAATAGTTGTATCTTTAAATATATTTATTTTTTTAATTAATATAATTTTTTTGTATAATTATATATATATAAATTACGTGTCACGTTGTTTGTCCGCAATGGACTCCTAAAATACTGAACCGATTTTAATAAAAATTTTGCACACTGTGTGCAGTTTCATCCAACTTGAAAGATAGGATAGCTTATATCTCATTTTATAATCAAATTATTTGTTTATTAACAAAGAGTCATGATTATCTCTGTTAGTTCGATAAGATTCTAACAGATAGCGGTATAAGGTAATTCGTTGTAGAGACCCTGTAGGAGGGACGCGCCATACATATTGCTGGGGTTGCTGTTGGCTGAAAATTTTGGGGGACAGCTTCCGATGCAACGAGCAGCCATGTTTTTTTCTTTAGTATGTATAAATTACGGCTGTGGTTAGTTATGAAGATTTAATACCCAGGAATCCTAGCTGATTTATTAATATTGGAAATTAAAAACAAATTGCACGAATGATTAAAATAATTGTAAATATAATATATATATAGTAGATAATTGTATTTATCAAAATTGTATTAATTCTTACAAGGTGTTTTTGAAATTTCAAAATACTGTAATGCCTTTTGTCAAATCAAACTTAATTGAATCTTTCTTTTTGAATTTATAATAATTTTTATTCTATAACCTATTCTATTTTAATTATAAATTTTTTAATTATCATTAAATATGGTTCACTTTTTTCTCTGTATTTGATGCAATTCATTATTTCATAATTTTTTCAAACCAATTCACCACTCTACCCCTTACACTATTCACTATTACTATATACAACTTTTATACTATTTAAAATGTTTGATTCATTCGCGCGCAATCACGTGACTACATAAGTTCCTGTCCCCCAAAATTCTTTGGCGCGTCCCTCTTACAGGGTTCCTAATTTGGGGACTTAATAGACGTATGTATCGGACTGATTGTGAGCCACAGCAACGCGTGGCGGGGCACCCCTATATATATATATATATATAATTATTTTTATTTATATATAATAAATTTCTTTAATTTTATTAATATATAATTTAATATAGATTAATATAATTATATATTTTAAGTGTACAACTTTGTTTCCATTATTTTTCTATAGGTGGCTTTTAAAAAACATGGCGGCGTATAAATATGGCGTAAAAATCCGCCATTTCTTATAAGCCATCTGTAGGAAAATAGTGAAAACAAATGTTGTACACCTAATATTTATAATTATTATATTTATTATCTATATTTATTATATGTATATACGTAATTATACATATAAATAACAATAGTAATTTCTATATTTAACTAAATATAATTTCTTTTACATATATAATCACCATTTTGAAAGAATCTTTCACAAATGTCCTTTTGTTCGGTCAAAAATCTTTCCAACGTTTCTTTTGCCATTCTAAATCAAATCAACAAAATAATTTAACATAAATTTAATATATTTTTCAGTGTTTTAAAATAAATTATTATACGTACGCGTTTATTTGATGAATCTTTGGTATATCCATGTCTGTTTTATTTATTTTTTAATTGATGTTCGTAAAGATTGAAGAATGATGCAAATCGAACTATCTCACTGCACGGATTTCGAGTGTTTGAAAGAACCACTTCGATGAACAATTTTCATATTCTTTAAGTGAAATCAATAAAAATAACATTTAATCTCTACCAATGTGTTTATCTCTACCTCTGTTTATGTTTATATTTGATCATAGTAATCACTTTTAAAAATCACTTTCAATTCAATTTTCTTTCTACATCATTTTGATCACGATTGATATTACTTTGTATAACAAACATGTAATATTATATCAATCGAAAAATATGTACACAATGTCTATTTACAAAAGCTACTTAAAATCAATCACAATTTTCCTATGATCGATCAAACCTCTGTATCAACATCTATTTGTTTAAATTAATGTGTCTTCTTTATTGAAAAAAAAAAAATACTCTAAATAATACTATGTTTAAAGATAAAAATAATAATCTTGTTCAAATGAAGAAACAAATATAATAATATCGAGATACATTTATTTTTATCATATAAAAAAAAATTATTTACACGTTGCATCCATTTTTAATCATTTAACAAAAATCTATTGAGAAATGTGTATTTAATTAGCGTCCGGTAATGTGTCGCCATCTAGCAGTAATAACTAATACTTTAATTTACCGACTGGTAAAATTTGTTATGCCATCTAGTGGTACTAATTAATACTTCATTATTACCGGGTTGGTAAAATATGTGTGACAATCTAGCGGTACTTGTTAGTACTTCATTGTTACCGACTGGTAAAATATTTGCCGCCATCTAGCGGTACTAGCTGATACTTCATGTTACCGACCGATAAAATTGTTGATAATTTAATTCTATTTTTGTCGTAATAATGTTTATTTCTTTAAAAAGTTTATAACATTAGCGCACACACAATAAAATTAGACACGTTTTTTTTTTTTTTTAATTTTATTCCTTACAAAATTTATGTAAAATAGAAGAAGAAGTTTATTTTCCAGGTATACCCCTTTAGGGTGTTTACCCCGACGGCCCCCCCCCCTACATAATTAATGTAAAATATTTTATTACAAAATAAATTAGAAAATACAATTTATTAAACTTACTTTTATAATAACGAAAAATACAGAATTAGAAAATAAAACAAAATAATAATAATAAACAAACTTAATTCTATGTTAATATTAGAAGACATATAATTATCGTTGACTTGTGAGACACACACAAACACACACATCGCCATTAATCTAAACTACTGCACTAATCAACTAACGAAATAAAAACATTTATGTAAAATTTCAATCCCATTTGTTTTCGCAAACAGCTGATAATGAAACAACATATAAGCCTAATTCAAACATTCAATATATTTATTTATTAACTGCTACGAGTGTCAAAAATTTCAACAAAACTTCATGCTGAAAATTTGAACAACTTTTGTGTCTCACCTGATGAGTCATAAAAATATCCTGTGACCATATTATTTCATTATATTATAAATTATTATATAAATTATTTTATTCATTTAACGAATAATTTTTAATGATGAATATAAACACACACAAATAATTATTCAAATAAATCAATTCTATTAGAATATCAATGATTGATGGTAAATCGTCTATTTTAAAAAAAAAAAAGAAAGACAGAATGTGTCGTATTTCTGAGATACAAAGAGACGGTGCTAATTTTCAATGGTGAAAGTATCTCTAGTGAAAGTGGCACGAGACACACGTCAGAAAGAAGGTCGTACTTATATGTCTATCCTATGTGTTAATGTATAAGGCAGGGGGCTGGGTGGGGGGTGGCTAGGGGGACGGGGGAGGGGAGGAGGAGGAAACGTGCATGGGTACAACGTGCATATGAACACGAATATACACCTGCAACAAAATAGGCGCGTTTTCGTTCAGTTTTAATGCAAGATGTTTCTTTTTTCTTCTTCTTCTTCTTCTTCTTCTTCTTCTTCTTCTTCTTCTTCTTCTTCTACTTTTTTCTTTTTTCCTTTTTGTGTTTTTGTATTTTTCAACTTGAAATGTTTGCATAAGATAAAAAAGAAGTAGAAAAAAAAGGAAACATTATTCTTTTGGTCATAACCAATCGTCATGAAGTGGAAGAAGAAGAAGAAGAAAAAGAAGATGATTTTCAATGAATTATTTAATCATGCGAAACTAGTCAAAAGAAGAAGAAGATGAAGATGAAGAAGAAGAAGAAGAAGAAGAAAATAGAGTTCAATTTTGACCTAAACGATGACCAATTTATGTTTATGATAATTATTAAAACGTAGAATTTTTGTGACGTAAGATAAGCGAGTAATTCATTCGTTTTGCATTTTCAATGTACGACGTCGTCGGCCATCTTGAGTCAAATGTATTTTTTTTTTTTTTTTTTGTAACTTTTGTTATTTTTCTTTTAATTCCTATTTTTCTTTTTTTTTTCTACGTGTTGATAAGACTAATGTAAGATTTATTTTACATTGTTTACTGTTAAATGTTATAATTTTAGGCATAATGTTAAATGTTAAAAGTTTAATAATTTATTATTAAAATATATGGTATTTAATTTGACTAATTTAATATTCATTTATTACTTCTTTAAAGAACAAAAAATAATTGCATATTTTAATTACAATATTTATAATTGCAAATTATAATTATAATTAAAATATATAGCAGTTAATTTGACTAATTTAATTTTCATTTATATTACTTCTTTAAAGAAAAAAATAATTGCAAATTTTAAATTAAAATAATTGCATCGTATTGATTGTTTCACATAATTACATTCCTAAAAAATATGTTTTGAAAAATATTTTGTAATATCAAAATAAAAAAAGAAAATATTTCTAACCTAAAACGATTGAAATAAAAGCCATCATTATTTAAGAACAAAAATAATTGCAAATTTTAATTGAAAGCAATTGCATCGTATTGATTGTTTCACATAATTAAATTCCTAAAAATATGTTTTGAAAAATATTTTGTAATATAAAAATAAAAAAGAAAATATTTCTAACCTAAAACGATTGAAATAAAAGCCATCACTATTTAAGGACAAAAATAATTGCAAATTTTAATTGAAAATAACTGTATCGTATTGATTCTTTCACATAATTTAATTCCAAAAAAATATGCTTTGTGAAAAATATTTTGTAATATCAAAATAAAAAAGAAAATATTTCTAACCTAAAACGATTGAAATAAAAGCAATAATTATTTAAGGACAAAAATAATTGCAAATTTTAATTAAAAATAATTGCATCGTATTGATTGTTTCATATAATTACATTCCTAAAAATATGTTTTGAAAAATATTTTATAATATAAAATTAAAAAAAGGAAATATTTCTAACCTAAAACGATTGAAATAAAAGCAATAATTATTTAAGGACAAAAATAATCGCAAATTTTAATTAAAAATAATTGCATCGTATTGATTGTTTCACATAATTTAATTCCAAAAAAATATGCTTTGAAAAATGTTTTATAATATAAAATTAAAAAAAGGAAATATTTCTAACCTAGAACGATTGCAATAAAAGCCATCATTATTTAAGGACAAAAATAATTGCAAATTTTAATTGAAAATAACTGCATTGTATTGATTGTTTCACATAATTACATTCCTAAAAAATATGTTTTGTGAAAAATATTTTGTAATATAAAAATAAAAAAAACATATTCCTAACCTAAAACGATTGAAATAAAAGCCATAATTCTTGAAGGAACAAATAATTACCAATTTTAATATCAACACATCGTATTAATTA